CATTGGGATAGTACTAATGTAAAAAAAGTACGTTTCGGCGGTAATCGGGCAAAAATCCTCAACGTGGCCATTTTTGAGTACTGGACACATGAAGCTGCTTTAGCGACCGTTTGATAGAGAAAATCTTCTAGTTTTGTATGGTGTATCAACTTTTTGAATTTGACGGAAATGAAGCAAGTTATTGCTCCAGAAATTGTAAAAACTCGTGCTCGTCTCGAATTTTCCTCGTTCTTTTAGCCAAAATCCTCAAACGTGGCATTTTTTGAGTACTGGACGTATGAAGCTGCTTTAGCGACCGTTTGATAGAGAAAATCTTCTAGTTTTGTATGACGTATCAACTTTTTGAATTTGACGGAAATGAAGCAAGTTATTGCTCCGGAAAGTGTAAAAACTCGTGCTCGTCTCGAATTTTCCTCGTTATTTGATCTAAATTTGTTATTTCTTATAACTTCCTGTAATTTCAGTACTGATTAGAAAAAGCTCTTCACAAAACTCCCAAATCAGCTTTCAGATTGAAAATTCGTTAATTTGAAGAAAGTTATAATCATTTGTTCAAATTTCAATAGTAAATAAGCTGCTCCACGGTCAACGCCAAAGTCCAGTCAACACACAGCTGGCGAAGGCTTTTACAAGGCTTCCTTTGAGCGAAAGGGGGACGTGTAAATTGAGAACCATAATCTGTGTAGTACTAGAATTTGGTAAGTCTTGTGGAGGAAATAAACAAAGAAGAGGTGTTGTCATAGTACGCCATTTCTAGTGACTAGTTTGACGTTTTTTGCTCCGTTTCTCGTTTGCTCGTTTGACAGGACTCGTCATTAATGATCATTCTTTGACTTTTTCACTTTTATACTTTTTAAACGAGTTTTTTTGTGGACGATGGGGTAGCAGGGCTTTTTTATGAGCAGTTTTGGTGGAGAATTAAACAACTTTTTCATAGTTCGGCTTTTAAAGAGGGTTGTTTCATGGACTTCGGCCTTCGGCAGAGGGAGGGGGGTCGTATTTCCGAATTTTCCTCGACGCCTCGCTTGACCCTGTCCCCACAAGCCTTTGCTTCATCATTTGGAAGGGTTTTAAGTGCATTTTTAACAAACATATACATTTTTTTTGGATGACGTAAGAATCATTGAGGCGGTGAGTTCGCAAAAATCAACCGTAAATTACTCTTATTTCTTTGTTTTCTCGGTGAATTGTATAGCTTTTATCAGGTGTTCATCGAAGGGAAACAAGAACGAGGGTGAAGAAGACTATCGTGCGCTCTTCGATAGCTTCCTACAAGACATGCTAACTGCCTTTAATAAACCGGAGTTCCCTGCGGCCGAAATGTTTCTGCAGGTTGTGGGTAATCTTCTTGTCAAAAACTGCCGGTGAGTGTGTTTTAACAGTTTTCCCAACGTAGATCTTATTAATGAGGAAAATTCTTGAATTTGAAGGAACAAGAGCGCAGATATTGCAATTCGGACGGTCAGTCTCGAATATCTCGGTTTGATCACGTCGCGTTTGAGAAGCAGCATGATATGGTCTATAGAAGATTCTAAAGAGCGCATGGATGTGGGTTGTTATCCTCTTTTCAGCATTCATTTCTTGCTTCCATTGCCGGCCTCAGCAAGGTCTTGCAGCATTGCTGAGGAGTACTATTTACATTATTTTCACTTATTCTTGATATTTTATCCGTTTCTACGTCACCTGTGATGTCTGACTTTAGCTTGTGGTGAAAACCATCAAATACGAGGATAATGTGCAAGAGGATGGAACATCTCTGTGGCCAAGTGTAGCCGACGTCGATATTTCCGACGTACGTTCTTTGTAAACGGCGATGTTTTCTTTCATCATCTATTTAATGTTATTTTTTGTTTTCATCAGAATTCATCTATCTTTTCACCACTATGAACGTTTGTTATTCATTTTCCTCCGCAGTACATGTTCCCATCGAAGTCGACCTTCTGTTCTCATTTTATATTTTCACGCCCGCTCACCACGGCATCACCCCGGGTTTGATGGGAATGTGTTAAAGCAGATCAATTCTTCGATCCTAATCCCTTTCGCCTTGGCACTCACTTTACGTGCTGTAATCACCTGAAGTTTCTCCATCACCGGCGATAGCGGTCTTACCGGTTTGTTAGAATGACTACTCTAGATTAGACTGCAGTTATATCAGCTATATTCAACAAATTTCAAACACCACCCACCTGTTCTTCTGACTGTAAGAATCGAACTCCGAATTTTTGTTGTAAACACCGCACTTTTACAGTACTCCTTGCTTGCTTCATTTGGTTTTGTCGTCTCATTCACAGGCGCGCTGCTTAACTTGTTTTCCATTTTCTTTTGTGTGGACCGTATATAGCGGTTTCTTTCCCCAAAGAATACGTCACCTGTGCACACCATCCAACGAGGAGCTCTAGCCCAGTGTGGTTCCTGACCGTTTAATCATCCAGCCCATTTCAAAAATCGCCGAATCTGTGGTTGCATTTCGACATGCCTAATGAACAAGGAGAGAATAGTCTTATGAGCACAAGCTTCGTAATACTTTCATCAGGAAGGTAATACCTTTGGAATATTGCCAATGAATGTGAGAATGATTTAGTCAAAACGAATTTCTCAGGTCAATAATGTTTGTTGCCTGGGTACAGCTATTGAATGCTACACAGAATACGGAGAGCTTTATGCTTACTCGTTTCCTCTTCACTCCCTTCTCCTGTTCTTCCACTATTCTCCTTATTATCATTTTTTGATTTACGTTGAGTGTGACTACGTCGCCAACGTCTTCACCACCCCCTACTCTCATCCGTCCCCTTTACTTTCTCAGGTTCCCATTACTGGTGGCAATTTTTGTAAAACTCCCCCGTTGCTTCTTTTTTTCCTACTTGCTCTTTAGATTCCGTTTGGTAGCATACAAGATATTTTTTTCATATTTTTTGTTGCATGTTGTGTCATTGGTTTAGCAAAGTTAGAATTTTTATGTTTTTTTTTTATTCATAGTATTACTCAAACGAGTATATTTAGATGACCTTCAGCGAGAAGCAAATGGAACTGGAGCGTGCCTTGCTTGACTACATTATAGTTAATAAGGATATTACCGTAGAGGCTAGTTTTGCATTTTTTTTAAATTGCTAGTCTTTGAGAACTTAGGGAGCAACCTTTCCAGACAACTGCTCCTTTCACTCCTATTTTTTACTTATTTAAACTAGCAGAATCCTCCATGATCCGACAGTGCGACACCGTTTTCAGGCCTTCGAAAGACTCAAAAATTCTCTAGTTCTGAGAGTTGGATTTCCTGCATATTTTAAGGAAAATGTGCTCATGTTAAGTTAAAAACCAGCGTCCGCAGAAAAGCTATCCAGAAGCATGACAATTTCAGTTGTTTATTTGTGGTCCCGTTGTGTTTGTTGCTTGACACTGTCCGTCGAACGATAAACGAGATGGCTTTCCTGTCGTCATGAAAATTTAGACATAGCCTTTTTGTGGTTCGTAGAACGGAGAAAGCGTTGACTGCCTTCCACCCATTTGGTTGTGAAACTCAACGAAACTAGATGACAATAACTTTGGGATGGCGAAAGCAACTGATGTGACTACCAAACTATCCATTTTCAGTATGCCGTGAGATTTTATTGTTGTGTATGGTACAAAGAGATTCTCGAAGATTTGCAAGAACTCGAAGCAAGATATGCTGAAAGCAAGCGCGAGAACTTGTCCGAAAAGGTGAACGGAGTATTTATTTTCACAATTTTCAACCGAGAAGTCTCATTACTGTAGTTGCAAGTCGCGATTTTTTCGAAGCTTTTCACTTCATGTGATTTCAATATTCTTTTTCTAGGAACATCGCAAAAATGAGTCTCGTCATATGAAGAAGGTAAAACGTGCTCAGGCGCAAAAGATCTTTCTTATTGATCTTCTGGGTCGCAAAAAGGACAGGCAAAGGAGATATGAGAATGCTAAGTGAGTTTTCCTCTATTTGTGGCTAATTAATTCCAATCTGCGGTAGCAAGTTCTTTTGGGAGATGAAGAAGAAATAAACTTTCAATGTCCAAACTCTTCAGGCGTTTCGGTAGTTCTATGCTGGAATCTGACGTAGCTTGGTGCATCAAATATCTTGCTGCTAAGAGAGAATTCACTCATTCTTTCGATTCTTTCCTGAAACAGGTTAGTATTTCTCGCTAAGGTATTTATTTGTTGGAAGCTTCCGTATTTTATTTCCACATGTTTTGTAAACTGTATTTGATTTGCGATTTTTTGTTGTTCATGAAGCTCTTCTCGTTCTGTTGTTCTATTCTCTAGATTGACTAATATTCTTTAGATTGTCACTGGAATTACCAGTGAGAGTACTGTGAGCTTAAGAACGAAAGCGATGCGTTGCCTGACTCAAATAATCGAGAGTGACCAGTCTGTTCTTTTGATGGTAATTCTGCAGTCCATTTCCAACCCATTTTATTTTTTAGCTCTGTTTCTATACTGTGTACTTCCAATTTCTGATCCCTCTCATTTTAAAGCCTGAGGTTTCTTCTGCCGCTCACAATCGTATGACTGACTCGAACGCTGCAGTTCGCGAAGCGACGGTTGAGATGATTGGAAAATTCGTTGTTGCGAATTCTGACGCAATTCCTACGTACTATCCTCTGCTCGCCGAACGCTTAATGGTAAGTTATTTGCATAACTTCGTCTAAATGTCCTTAAAGCGCACATTTTAGGATACCGGTGTTGCTGTCCGCAAACGAGTGATTCGGATAATGCGAGAAATCTGCGAAAAATTCCCGAATTTCGAGCAGGTGGAGATTTATATCTATCTAGGTTTTGAGGCTTTCGTCGATTACGAGCATTATTCTCTAATCATAATTTTAGATACCAACTATGCTCGCTCAAATAGTGCGCCGTGTACAGGACGAAGATGGAGTCAAGAAGCTTGTTTTGGAAACATTCCAAGCCCTTTGGTTTCAACCAGTATCTGAGCGTAATACACCAGCGCTCCTCAAGAAGGTGCTTGTTTCGTAGGAAGTTTGCTCCACTCTAGGCCTTGCACGTGTAGAGATGTATCGCCGTTCATTGTGAAGGGGTTAATTAAGTTCTAAATTCTAAAGGGGTTAATTCAGTTCATATTCAAATACATATTTATTACGTTTCAATTTTTTTTGCGTGACATTGAGGCAAAGAATGAGCGGCATTAGATGTCGTACGTGACTGAAGTAAAACTAATGAATGGTGGCAGTGAGGGTGAGGTGGGGAAGGTTTTCTTTTCATGGAAACTCCTTTGTAAACTAACGCTAGGGATTTTAATGCAAATTGGGGTTGATACGAAAGAATTTTGTTATTCGCATGAAGCGAGTCTAATTTTGTCATTTATAGGTTTACGCAGGTGCTTGAATATTTATTTTACGAATGAATTTACGTATTTCTATTCTATTATTTCTATTCTTCTATTCTATTTCTATTTTTATATTTAAATTTCAGGTAATCGTGATGACGAAAGTGATCCAAATATGTGCTGAAGAGATGAAGCTGGAGGCTATGGAAGTGCTCTTCCATTCTTTGCTGAAGCAAGGCGACAGGGTAATCGTGACTTTTTTGAGATTTCTCCAAACAAAATTTCCATTCATTTGCTTCAGAGTAGTCTAGCCGCAAGTCGACAAATCATTGATATGTTCATGGATAACGTCCTTACGATAGAGAACAAGATGGCGACAGGTTAATCATCAGAAATCTCTGAGGAATGTGTATGATTACGTGCATGCAGTGTTTTGCTTTAGAGAATGGTGTATCCACAAACGCATCGAACGACGATCTGACGGGAGCTGAATTGCACAAAGCCAATCAGGAACGACTTTTGGCATGTCTGAACACTCTTACCTTGTTTAGCAAGGTGTGTTTCGAGATATAGCTTTGCTACAAAGTCCCCTTTGTTAGAGACTTGTCATATTTGTCTGATAAGAGGTCCTTTGGAGAGGTTAGAGAAAATATCCTCCAGATACTGATTTTTTTCTTTGGGAATGAGAGGAAATACGTTATTTTATGGTAGAATCTGATTGGTAACGTGAATGACCTGAGTTTGGACAGCGATACAAAGTGATTGGGTAGGGGTTGGGTGAACTGTGTAATATTTTGGTTGGCTGCTATTAGCTCATCAATTTATCGCATAGTCAGGCCCTAAATAGCTGATTTTATCTATACACGTAACGTTTTTGTTTAGCCAAGGAAAATGACAAGTTGTGAATCATTCCTCGCCGTAACGTAAGAGAGCCCAGGAATAACTAGGTGGATATCTCTCAACTACCCCTTACATCCATGTTATGCAATTTTTATGGAAAGTAGAGCATAGGTGACAAATTCAATACTCTTCAGTTCCGAGGCCTCCTGTTGATTTAAATATGTGTTGGACATGGGAGCGATATTTCGTGTAAATAATGCTTGTTAAGGTTCGGCCCGAACTTCTTGTTAGACACGCGGAAACTCTCCAGCCTTATCTCTCAATGAATGCAACGCAGAAGTCGGAAGTGATGGTAAGCATAAATCGTAGGCAACAGTTCCACATGTGAACACGGTGCAACGAGTGCATTTCAGGTATTGAATGAAGTCATTGGTATGCTGGAGCGAGTTGTGCCTCTCATGAGCCACCCAAGTGATGCTTTTCTTACCACGTGAGTGATCTTTAGTCTTGCCTTTTCAATTCAGTCAGGAATGAACTAGAACCGACAGTGAATACATATATAGCAGGCGGATACCTCTGTCTTGGGTCAGCTAAAAAGGTAAAAGAGTAACTGACTTCCTTTGGTACGATTACCTCTGCGAATCAGGGCTGACTTAGTTACCGACCATTTCCATTGGTATGTGGAAGCGGTTAGGAAATCCAGTAGTGCCTAATCGTTCTTAAGAACTGTTCCCTAATCAAACAAATACTCCTTCATTTGTACATATGGCTCTAGAAAATGCTATGAATATGCTTCAGTTGCTGCATTTTTTCAGTCAAGATCAAACTCTTGCGAATCTAACAGCGAATGCCAGCGGTGTAACAACAACTACCGTAACCATCAGTTGCATGTCAGCTATTTGGCATCGTTTTGGACGTCCTGAAGTTCCTGCCATCGCAACGATTTTCAAGACTTATTTAGGTTTGTTCAGGACTATGATTTAATCTTCTTTTTTTATTCTTTTCGACTGGTCTCCATCCATTCACTCCACGAAACGTCTAATATTATTTTCATTTCTACGACCGTAATTTCAACAGGTATGTTTTCAGAATATCTTGTCCGAGTTAAGAATGGCCTAAAGATGATGCCCAATCGTCAGCTGGACAATCCTAAAGTGCTTCGCATTCAGAGGTGCAGTTAGCGATCACGAACTTTTTTCCTTGATGATTTTTTAGAATTTTTGTGTTTTATATCATATGCTATCAAAGATACACCAAAGTGGACCTAATACTTTTTCAGCTCCAATGAAATAGTATATTATTAGATTGCTGAATGCTGTTTTGCTTTGTCTGTATTAGTTTCGGCTCGTACTATGGGAATTGTGGTAATTTTAGGTTTCTTTTGGCGTCGTGTCAGGGCAGCTTTGACGTTGACTTCTATCATAACAAAGATGCAAGGTAATTGGAAAAGATATTCCTGCGCAGCTGTTTAACCTGATTTGTACTTTGCAATGCCGATGATATCAATCACGAGGAGCCTGAGAAGCCACGGTGAGCATCTACCTGCCCTGTTTCCTCACATGAATTTCTCATTGCACTGTTTGCAGACGAATTCGAGATAATGTTTTCGATGTGCTGTTCTTTTTCTCAAGCAGCAACTTGCCAACTCTGCGCTTCAAAGCGTTCGTCGCCCTTGGTAATTTTTATTCCAGCTTCGATCAGGGCACTTCTGAAACTACTTCATTATAGGTCATACTTGTGCCCGGTAGCGCACCAAGGCAATCGGTACCCTGAGTATTTGATGTGCCGTGATGTAAAGGACATGTACCACGTCTTGCTTAGCTCTGATGATCCTAACTTCACCCAGATGCGGCTACAGGCCTTGCAAAATTTGGAAGAGTTTCTTGAAATCGGAGGAGTTGAAGCTCATCAAAGGCGATCAAAATTGTACGTCATTCGTAATTTAGTAATAATATGTAGAAATCGCCTTTGATTTCAGCTTTTTTCGGTGAGTGTGACTGAATTTGACTTACTTTCAGTTGAAAAGGAAAGGGAGAGAGAATTGAAAGGAGATAGGATTCAAGACTGTTGGGTCTTGATACAAGTGATCAGATCTACTTGGCAAGCTGTATTTGCAGGGTCTACTTTCTAGCACAGTGGGAGTCGATGTCCATTCTGCTCAGGTGAGACATCTTATCATAATGAAGAGTTTGTATGTATTCTTCGGTTCGTAATACATCGGAAGGATTTTTTACTGTTCATAATCATAGTTCTTTCTTGGCGATTAATTTAGGAATGAGTGACATGTCAGTCACATCAACCAAAACGTATCCGCTGCTCTGACTATGGAACATGGAGATGGTTGTGGCTAGGTCCCGTACGGTTATGCGATTGGAGGCGCATTGCGAGAGTGGCACTAACAATGTCTTTTTTACTCGCCTGAGCCTCGGCTTATCCCGCTTTAGATTCGCGTAAGCCGGCGTTTGTACCAGCACATTGTTCGTTCCGAATCTGACGGACATCGGTTGATGTTTAAGCGTTGGAAAACAGGCGAAAGTGGCTTTAGGTGGTCAATCGGATATCTCGCGCGCCATGGGTTTCTCGTGTACATCTCTGGTCCAATTCTGCTTCTTGAAGAACTGTCGGCACAGCTACGCATTGCTGCCTGTGCTGTAGCCGAGGCCTGGGAATTCGTCAGGGAGCCCCACTCGATAAGAGAAATATTCGAAAAGAAAACGATTCATAAGTGCAAATCGGGCCATCAAGTCGAGCGCCTCAGTCGCATCGACGTTGAACGCGGCTTAAGCCGTGCGCTCTGGTAACTTGGAGAAAAAGAAGCAGTTGCAGGTGGCTTCAGACATACGCGAAGAAACCTTCGTTAATTCCTAAGGAGCTTAGGGAATAACTACTTTTGAAAAGAAAAACTCACGACAGAGAAATTGATTTAATTAGGAGTGAAGTAACCGTGGACAGACCGCAAGATAGAGAAAGTTGTTGGAAATATACGAGCAGAAAAGCTGGTCTTTCTTGACTATGTGATTGCTGTCAGTTGAATCGCTTTTAATTTTAGGTGGCGAATCTGACGTACAGTCAAGGTTTGGTTACACCGGGTACTTCAATTGCGACGCTTATAGCAATGACAACAGATCCATTGCCGATAGTTCGAAGTCGTGTAGAGGGTATGCTGAAGGATATCGATACAAAATACGCAGGAATGATACAGGTTTTATTTTGACCTCTTCCTTTTATGTGGCTTCATTAGTTTTCTTTTCTTTCAGAGTACCGCCACACAGGGTGTGCGTAAGGCATATCAGCTTCAGCTACAAATCCGTGAATCCACTTCTGATGGCGACCACGTCATTCGTGGTATTCGTGCTTGTGATGTCTCCCCATACGCTACCACTGGCGGTAAGCGATAGAGCTTATTCGCTTCAATAGAATAAGGCTTAAGTCAAAGTGTTTAGCTCGTATTGATCCATCGACCGGCCTTCCTCGTCATTCCAATGACGGGCAGGCTGTCTTGAGCGGTTTATACCAGCGTCTTCGCACCAATCGACAACAACGGAGATCTTTCCTCACAAGCGTTTTGAGGTATGTCGCATTTTATTATACTTATTTTCAGTGGCCTTACTGTAGATTGCTTACTGTTTAAATTTACTCCTGTATGACCGGGCCTCAGGGCGAGGTGAGGTTACGGCATGTGACACACCTGAAATGCACAACGGGGTCAAATCTCGGATTGGGTTCCGCCAAGGCCAAATAATTCTTCCATTATTTCTGGGTCGGTTAATTGGTACCAGATTCTGGGATGATATGAACATTGAATTGTGCATCGTTCTCACATCATCTCGCAAGTCATTTATAGACTAAAAAGCGTTTATAGCCGCCATAATCTGACTGAAAGTACAATGCGCGGCACATCCCAATGCCGAATACTGTGCTCTATGACAGTTCTCAACCAGCAATATGATCTCATGGAATTATTGGCCTTTGCGCGTATGATGGATCGGTTACTAAGAGGATTTAGAGAAGTACAGTGTTCAACTTTTTTTATGCCACATAGCACAACTCCATGTTTTCGAAACAAACCTTGATGAAAGCCTTATTCCAAAACCAGAGCTATAGCTTGCAATAATGTCTCCTCTCATTACTACGGAACGTGGCCCTAATCGCTCGCTTTGGAAATCATTTTAGTGGGAAACTTTCTGCATGTATTCTATTTTCAAATTGCTAGCCCAAGTTAATCTAGTGAGGGGATCTCACAAGAATGCTGAGTTATGGGCAAAACTTTTCACGCCTGGCCAGTATTCGTACCCATATCGCTTTCCTTTCCGGGGAGGATATTTTGCAAGTCTTCAAGGGATGTTCTTGCATATTGTCACTGTTTTTTGTTCAGACTGTTCAGTGAGGATTCGAGGGAGAAACTCCGGCTTGAGGAATGGATTTTTGTTGCGGACAACATCGCCATGTTTCCTTATCAGGTTCCGTTTTTCATTTTTTGGATTAATTGTGAATTGCTGATGTGGAAGTTGTTAATGAATTGATATAGGTTATGGATGAGCCGCTATATGTGATCCATACCATTGATTCGATTGTGTCATTGTCTGGGCAGTCATTGCTCATTCAATGTAAAGCACACCTGCGAGCTGGACAACCATACTACTCCATCTGTGCAGCAGCCACCGAAGAATCAGCTTGAAGATGAACGACCTTCTATTCGAACCTGGAAGCCCTTTATAGTAATCCTTGGTTTCTGCTTTTGCTGGGATTGCTTCATTTTTAAATACGTTCTTTACAGACCGTTTCCCTGAAGAAAAAGGCCCGTTATATGACCTCATGGACAACAGCCAAGCGTGCTTTATTCTACTCTACCTCAAGAACTTTCTAATGAAGCTTTATGGGTTTACGGAAGCGTAAGTGGAGCTCATAGTATAGTAAAAAATGAATGCATTTGTTCAAAATGATTTTTGAAAATTTCAGTAAAGTTCAAGAATACTCTCCATCGGAAGCGGCTAAAGTTTACGAGAAGGCGTTGTCATCAAGGAAAAACGTGCCAATGTTCAATCCACTTGCGGCTCTTGATGGAGGACGTCGACGTGACGGCCATACTGATCCAGTAGCAAATGATCGACAAAGCATTCAGAGTCACTTCAATTTGGCGACCAAGATCTGTAACGTAAGTAATATTCTGGAAGTAGATCGTTCTGCAGGGGTTCAGAAGTATGATCTATCAGAGTATGGATAGGCATGCGGTGCAATAGTTATGGGCCGTGTAACGTTTTTGGACTAATTTCTGAGGAGAGGAAGCTCTGGGGTGCGGGAACCATCTTGCTTTTGCTTCCACACTAATCCCGGGGCTTTCACTTGAAAAATTGAAAATAGCGAAAGCGGCACGAGCTGCGTTGAGCCCTCCTTCTCCCTTACTATTCACCTAGATCCCAGAAGTTTTTTATGAGTACAATTTTAATACAGCTGTACTCCTATACTCCCTTTCAAAAATGAGAGGAGCGTCGTGTGCAGAACATACACCACAAGTGACGACGGCCTCCAAAAAAGTAAATGTCTTCTGCCATTGAAATGATTAGCCTGTTGCAGTTGTTCACTTCTGTCAGTTGCACTAATTACAACTTATTTACTAAAAAGTTTATCACTATGAACCAACTTTCTTTGACGCAGATTTGACTTGGAGTCTGTCGTACTGTCTGCCGACGACGCTCTTCTCGTTTTGAGAGGGAGGATACATTCGTAAATATAGCTAACAGCAGATACATGGTATAAGTTTAGTTCCGAAAAATGTTACTGTCTTTGGATCGAATGGAGAACGATGGTGACAGCGACTATGAGGGGGAGATCAGTGTTGCTCCGAAAGACGAGGACGAAAGTGCTGATGGATGTATGGAAACGTCTGCCGATAATGATGTCGATATGTAGAGAGACCTCTTTGCTCCCTTTTTCCTCGAATTTGCAGGCCAGCACACTTCAACTCAAAAGTAGTCCAGTGATCGTGAATGTGATCAAATCCTTCGGTCAGGGTCGATTCTATTCTGTACTTTGTTCATAATAATCAGGCATTTTATTGTTTCCATTCTGCATCCGAGATTATCTAATGACCTTTTTGCGGGAGCTCTTGTAAATTTACCACGTTCATACCTCATTTATATGTTTTCCAGATGATCTAGTTCATTATATCATTCTTCCTCATTTCTGATTTTGTTTAGGCACAGATATTTATTCTGCACGTATTTTAGCTTGCGAAAGTGTAATTGTGTTGAGGAGTTCGTCATTCTTCACACTCTGTTGTGAAGCAGGCGGCTCCTTGTACGCTGTGAGATGACTCTTGAAAGGATATTCTTGTATATATGATCTGTTTGATTCTCTTGCAAATTCTGTGTTTTCTGTAAGTGCTGTTTCGATTTGATGATCTCGTTCTGTTGCGTTGTTCCTTCTGTATCTCTTTTCGGCTGTCACACTGTTGCGCACTCATTCGCAAGCCAAAATTCGACCGTATTGGTTAATACTGCTAATGTTCTCTAATAAATACAAATGATTTAAAGTCTTTTGTTGGCCTCTAAATGCTCAGACATATTATGCGTGCAAGTTCGAGCAAAATGTAATGTACATTAGTAGTGAGGATCTCGTGTGTCCCATACGGTCAACATTGCATGGCGCGTTTCCCGACTCCCGCGAACTCCTTGAGTTGTTTTTGAGCTTTTTTTAAGGGTCGTACTTGTGGACATTGTAATTTTGAGTTGTTGTTGTGGGAGAGGGAGGTCGTTATTGATGATTTTGTTTTCGAAGGTATTGATGGAAACTCGAGGAAAGAAGTATAAGATGAGGAATAAATGGAGAAAAATTATAGCATCAGCAGTGAGGAGGAAATGAAAAAGAGTGGAGAAGGATGTCGACTGGTGGCAGAGCCAAGTACTATACAACCAATTCATGGTGGTGAAGGTGATGGTCGAGGGTGAACGAGGGGGAGGGGGTCGTATTGGGAGATCCCTTCCGAGGCTGATGGTGGTGATTGGCTCTCCTGATAGGGTGAGGGCGTCAAATTTCCGGAATTGGCACAACCGACAGTTGAAGCTGGTCACACGACAAGGGTAGTGAATCTGGGCCCACCTCGGGATCATTTTATATATCTCCTGCTTGTTGGATGACATCAATTACGTAAGAGCCGTGGACATCGTAAATGAACAGTGTACCTATCAGTAACTCGGTAGTTTCAGGATATGAGATTGTCTCTAGTTACCGTAACTGCTGCGTTCCGTTGTCTCCCTCTTCGCTTCGGGACTATCTGTACAGGGATTATGTAATGCCTAGCCTTCTTCTCGTCTTCTCGAAAGAATTTTGAAAAATTTGAGAGTCGCCAGACGCTCGCCTGACCCTACCTCAAAATATCTCTTGATACACGCGAAGGGAAACATCCGTAAGGCTACCCCTAAAGTATGCCCCAAGCTGCATACATGCTACAAATTTGAAAATGTGTGAAAATGTCCCAGCATCAATCCGAGGAATACGGTCTTTATGTTTTGGACGTATTACTCTTGAATCTTTATTCGCGAATTTATTAATTATTAGTTAATTGTTTGAAACAATGTGGAACATTTGATTGCCTTCCATCTAACGAGTAGACGATCCATTCCGATGATTTCTGTATTTGTTGCGAAGTAAACGACGTAAAATCTTCCCAGACGGAGTTCTCGGAATGTGATCGACGAACACAACACTCCACTCCGCCACTCAATTCCTCATGAGACGGCGAATGATCTGAATTTGAATGTTGGCAATGTTTTAAGACATAGCGTTCGGAGTAGCCATAAGTGTTAGAGAGTTATAATATAACCAGTTTAGCTCCGCACGCTACCGCGCGCATGACACGGAAGGCTTTAGTGAAACTGTGCAGCCGGTGGAGCGTTAGGTTCCACCGTTAAACAATGTGTTGCTTTATAAAATGCGTTAGCTGACCGTTTCCGTTTAGGCTGCCACCTTGCAGAAGCTGACCGTGTGACACGCTCGGTGCGGTGTTAAAGTGGTGCCTTTTGACAATCATCATGCACCGAATGCCAAGTATAGCTTAAAAGTGTTAGGTTCCATTTCGTCAGGGGCCCAGCCTACTTGACACCAAATGGGCTCTCCATTATTCTTCGTCCATGTTGTTGTACCTTTTTCTTCAAACACGAAAGGCATAGTTTGCGATCAGAAGGCAGCCGTTAGATTTAAAGGAATCTTCCGCGGAAAAAGCTCCGCCTCCATTACCACAGAAAAACGATACCCTTAGGCCCCTAGCCTCATGAGCATAGCAAAAAGAACGGAACATAAGCGTTAGTTTCGATAATACTAATCCTACACACAAGACAAAATGATCACTCTTTCCGTGGAAGATTCCTTTAAGGTATCGTTTTCTGTGGTAATGAGGGCGGAGCTTTTTCCGTGGAAGATTCCTTTAAGGTAGATTGGTCAGTGGGGCGGAACGAACCAAAAAAGTAATGAAATACGGCCCATAACCCGAGAAATGTGACCCCTTCCTTGCCCGTTGTGTGTCATCGTGGTGCAACTATTCAATGTTAAGCGCTCTTCCTGTTGAACGCCTAAAGACGTACGGCGAGTAACCGCCGGGGCATTTCCTTCGCTGCGATTGCGGTGGGGGCCGCCTCTCTTCCCGCTAAGTGAGTGTTCTCCTTTTTCGACCTTAGACCTTATCGTGGAATCTTCCCTCAAGACGACAACGTGGGTTGTGGCCGTCATCATTGACGACAATACCCTGGTTCAAAGCACTGTAGGTTCCGCAACAAGCTACGAAATGATAAAGGCAATTGTTCAAAGGGAGACAATAGGTAGTTAGGAGAAGTAGATCTGGAATGTTGAAGGATGTGTTACGAAAAAGCAAAGCAGTGTGGCCGAAAAACGTACTCCTAGTATATCGTAATTTGAACCTATAAGCGATCTGATCCCATCGAGTTAACATCACGTCTTTTGATTTTTTTATACTAATTGAAATATAGAACCTGTTTCCTCATTAGAAAGTACTGGATGAGTAGTACCGTAAATAAACTTTTTGACGTCAGATTCAGAAAGGTGAGGATTGCTGGACACCACGAATGCTCGCGGTTTCTCTCCAGTATTGTTGTCGGCGACTCCTATTATGGCAGCATCCAGGATGTCCATATGGCTCTTAAGAACACGTTCTAATTCAGAAGGCACCACCTGAAAAATGAGCGGTGGTTGGAGGGTTTTTCATGCCACTATAGAGAAGAAATCGTAGAACAGATCTCCACCACTGCATTTTGGAATAGTTAAAAATTTTGATCGAAACTACAGTGCGTTCATAATCATAATGTTGGCCTAAATTTCAAAATAAAATCTACGTAACCACCACGCTGATTCGCTCAACTATGGATACAACTGCTGTATCGCAGTTTTGGCGAGTTTTGCGTCGGGAGCAGCTTGTAATCTGAACTTTTTATAACTATTTTTTTGGTTTTTGCAGTGTTTCATAATTATAAGGTCACCCTGTGAAAATGAACAATTACCCAAAATTAATCACCGACTTGAAGCGAGGGATTACGATGAGTTTGGACTGGGTATATATAGTGGAAGTGGAGATGCTGAATAATGCCCCAGTGGCACAAAAGGCAAATAAATAAATAAATAATCCGTAATAAATAAAAGAAATCCGTCAAGAAGGCGCAAAATGGGACCCTTTCTTTGCCCGTTGACCTCCGATAATGGACGAGCTAGCAACCAATTAGGAGGTCGTTTGCACATGTTATGCTGATAGCCTCTATCATTTCAGCAAGCATCATGCTTTGATTGATCACGCATCCCATGAAAAGTTATAGGATACACTCTGGAAGTGGAATATCTCGTCACATTGGCAATCGAAGGGCGCTGCTGCTGGGGGCGGAGCACAGACCGTGGCGGGGCTCAGAAAGGAATGGCAAGCCTTGTACGCTGCAACTAGCGCACCTTTGACCACAAAAACGCAACATTTCGTTTCCTTGGGCCCCTGACTACTGCTTCCAATGGTGCATGTACTTCCACGCTGCATACGCACTTTATCGTAATCTCTCGCTTTAAAGAGGCTAATAATCCACGGTTCCTCCTTTACTGAGTACAACATCGAATAGCTCCGTGGCCTTTAGAATTGAGATTCCAAGGCAGATCACCATCGATTCACTTCCGTGTGCAAGGGTTGCTTGTATACGCTCTTGTGTAGTTTTAACTGGCGTTTATCCGCATGCTTCTCCATGACGAAGATCTGAGATATTCTACCGAAATACAACCAGGACTTCCGAATAACCTGTTTAGATCATCTGGATTTTCAGGGTAAATATCGCTCCTGGTTGAGTGACTTGTATAGGTACCTGTGCTCCTTCTTCTCCCAAGCGTAAGTTAGTCCCACGTAGTCGCAGGGCCCGCTGCCTTTGTCCGCCGTCGCCATGCCGTTCTATCCAGGGCATCTTCTGCAGTGACTCCCACCTCAGTAAAGGTCCACATGGGTACCTGTCCTGTTCTGTAAGAATTCGTAGGGTTGCTAATTTCGTCAGCTGAGAGAGATCAGATGTCCTTGCAAGGCTCTATGCTAACCTGGAGTCTACGCAGGTCATAAAAGCGAAATTCCGGCACAACATCATCACAAAAAGCACCCATCCTTCCACATTTCCTTCCACTAAAATTGCAAGCGCTGAAGTGAATCGGCCACCTTCGCAAGTCACGGCAAAAGTGTTTATATCCACAAGATTAATTCGCGTAAAGCAGCTTTGATCCGAAAAATACACAAGAATTACCCAGCTATGTGGTGCGATTGGGACGCAGGCCCAACTTTATTGAATATCTCTCTATGTTCAACTCTACGGTTTGAGACTGTAATGAGCAGTAAGCGTTCAGACCATCTTTGCCTCTTTTCTGACATGTTGCTGTTTCTTTTCGCCGCTCTCCAGTCCATACTTTTTGAGTTAGAACATCAAATTACGAGCGACTCTGATTTCAAGAGGAAGTACGTACCGTTTAAAACAGCCCTCATAACTCTTCTCTAATCATTTATAGAAAACTTTTGTGAATGTTCGCCGTTTGTAGAATATCTGGAGGCATAGTAGCTCTTCAATTATTTATCTTTGGATAGAGCAAAGGATTTTCCGAACTCCTTTGCAAAGGCTCACGAACTATGCCGAGCACCACGAAATGCACAAACCTGGACTTTTCTTCGGAAGACGAATACAACATCCTAGAAATTCAGCTAATGGATGTGTTTGTAACAAATATTCAGTTTCACAGCAGGTTTGTTGTTTCTGATAATGTAATATTCATTTTCACAGGGTGACCTTATAATTATGAAACGGTGCAAAAATCGAAAAATAATTATAAAAAAGTTAAAAGAAAAGCTGCTCCCGCCAAAATTGCGATACAGGGGTTATTCATAGTGAGGAATCAGCTGGTGATACTAGAAAAATTTCCTATCTGCTGCTTTTTTCGGAAATGCAAGGTTTTAGGGTTACCTTATAATTATGAAACGACTGTGTATGTACTTTACTATAACTCATATAGGGCTAACCAGTCTGCCATTGACGTGCATAGGTTCCTCTATGTGCTCGATAAAAGTAGTCTGCCCATTGTGTTCCAATAAGCCAATGTCACCTGAAGCTTAACGCATCTTGGTCATTTATCGATATCACCGCGATTCATCCACCTGTATGGAACCATCCCTCAGAGTCGACAACTTTCGCAGTTTCCTCAGCATTGTTAAGATAGCCTTTCATTATGGTTGGAGACCGTAGGCAGATCTCACCCTCTTCCATGAAACCGGCCGCCTTGCCATTTTTCAAACTCACGACCTGAAAGGTGCCTCCCATACACAGAAAATTCGAGAAAACTATCTTCTGAAGCTCTCTTCGGCAATAACACGTGATAGAATGTTTAAATAGTGAAGAGCAACCGGAATGTTGACTGCCCGACACTTCTCAATGTGCATAACCTCAACTAAAGCGCTACAAAAACTCATTTTCCACTATACACTGCGTTTCATAAATATAGGTCCACCCTAATTTTTTGCTATTCCAAAGTTGCTGTGCATTTTTGGAAAATGCCGCTATTACCAATAGTTTCCCCATAACGAAAAACCTTGATACTTGATTTCTGGAGAAATCTCGATTCAGAATTATTAAAATATCTTCCTTAGAACGTATTTTCACCGTTTCGCAAATATGACTACACATCACTTGTCGAGAGATTTTACTATAACGAAAAAACGTCACGAATTTTCAATAATGGGATGACCCCCCAATAATCATAAGGAACACAATAATACGTTTTGAAATGCTGGTAGCCAAATTAGCTATTACAGTAGGATCGAAATTCGTCTGGGCGCCGATGATCGACCTTTTCAGCTTTTCGGCTGTTCCATTTTGCTTTACTTTGCTGTGGAACTTTATAACACTTGAGGCCATAACTGATTCTAAATTGGAATCTAATTCAATTCGATTATAACAATTTGTAATGATTCTCTATTGGAATCTAATTCAGATAACATGGTGGCCACCAGATAACTGCCACATTTTTTCCTGCAATTCCATCTGGCGCGGAGGGACCGGCATGGACAGCCGCGTTATCGTGTGTGAAAATCAAGGATAGAGGGGATCCTTGTTGAAAAAATGGTAAGACTCGCTTCGAAAGAACTTCACGATACCCTGTGGAATCTTTGTGAACGGAAACAAAAGCGAGCTCTAGCTACTCAGTCGTTCAAAGGTGCCTCAAACCATAAGGGATTCACCGCCGAAATTACGTTACATTGAAACCATCTGCGATTTCACGCGATCATCCTGTACCCTCTTTTTCTGCCATATCCACCTAGAATAAACTTTTCCACGTCGATCTCAGACCACCTGTAGAACGAAACAAGGAGGTAGAGTCCAAGATCGCGAAGGGTCTTAACAGCCACACCATCGCTCATTAAGTTGAGCCCTTTTCCACGGAGAAATGGAGACTTGCGATCTTGTAGCGCTCAAATAATCTTGGAACGCTCTTCATCAATCCGTTGAAGATGTTATTGCTCTGCTGGCTTACTCACCACACGGTGGTTTTGCTCACGGAAGGCCGCATTTCAGTACGGACTTTGTTCGGACTCCTTGTATAATTCGAGAGAAGACACCCAATTCCTCCTAAATTTTGAAGGAAACGCAGTCTTTATTTACCTAAGCGACTCTTCTCTCCGCACTGACCAGGATTTTGCACATAGTCGCTTATGCAGTATGAGCCGGCCGACATGGGAGGAAATTCTGCTCCTCAGCTATCCCACTTCAGTAAGTGCTCTAGCTTGAGCTTGTTACTGGGAAGAGAGGCGAATAACACGAGGTATGGTAAACTCGATGTCGACTGAGCCCACATATTTCCCCGCTTCCCTGATTCCCTTCACGGATCGTGAGAAATGGAAACTTTTTATGAGTGGCCCGATATTCATGAAACGGTGAAAATTCGTTCTAAAAAAGTTAATTGGGTTACTTGAGGGGGGAATTTGTCAGAAAAACACTATGAAGGTTTTCCGTGATGAGGAATCTAACGGTGATAGCAGCATTTCCAAAAAATGCACAGCAACTTTGGACAAAACTTTAGGGATGACCTATAAATAAATACGCGCGATTAGATCGTGAAGAAAGTTCTTGCGCTACTCGACCTTGATTTTCAAATTTTCCTGTATCTCGGCTCATTCGAAACCTTTTTGATCGGAGTAAAGACTTAGCTCTAACCATCCAAGCAGAAACGCAGAGTATAGCTTATTCTTTGGCGTAGCCCTACAACCCTCCCCTACCCCAAACCGTTCGGTAGTATCGAGGGAGCGGCCAAAACCCGAGGGGGGGGTACCTAACGTCCTAATGCTGAGCCTCCGCTGGTTACCAATGGCAAGATCAAACATCTAAACAGAATTCCTCATTCGATAAAAATTCCGTAGTTGGCTTAGTTACTCATGCTTTTCTAAAAAGCGGTTATTTAGTGCCATCGACTCCTTCTTTTGTTGCGGGTAATAAATATTAGGGTTATTTTAGACCCTCTGAATGGCACCCTTAAGGGCGTTCAGTGATTTAGAGGATAGAAACAGTAGAAGACAGCAACAGAAAAGTTGGCACAACGCAATGTTGGTTGTACAACCCTTTTCTTGGCCTATAACAGTGGGCCCCTCCGCTGACATAAGCAGAAGAAATGTCCGCCTTCATTGTCGTATTCGATGTGCAGGCGATGATACATTTCTTTTTGCCCGTATCCCTACGCATTGGTTACCGGTATGGGATTGATTGTGTTCCGCCCTCCTGCAGCTCCTCAACCAACCATTGTACCGTCATTGAATAAAAAGTGGATTTATAGCTCATAACATTGGTCCTCTCAAAATTGCTCTGTTCAGAATTCCGTGGTTGGCTTAGTTACTCAAGCTGCTACTAATACATGTATGTAAAAATGAGCCTTTACTTTCTGCTGGAAACTTGGAAGAATGGTCGCCGTTGATTGGTAGCGTTGCTTCATTGACGACATGAAACCGATCCCACACTCTGCCCATCCATATACTGAAATATAAAAATCAAACAGTTCCATAATTTGATGGCTAAAGCAGGTATGAGATGGAGGTGATTCTCCCTACCTGGAATGAGATGTCTAACGTGTTTGAATTTATCGAGAAATGCGTTTAAAACTTCTTCGACATATGGTGGACCTTCAATCACAACCACCTTAACTGACGTGAGATCATACGATTCCACTAGACTATCTTGCAGAAGGAATACAAGCATAGGAGTCACTATGTGTAACACCTTTGGCTGCAATATTAACGAATATTACGAATGAAGGTGGTTTGTCGACGAGAAAATAATGCATCTAATTAGTTATTAATGTACAATTCCATGAGGCATATCATATCAGGCATATCACGTACAGGTCTCTGTGGGTGATGTCACATGCTAACATTCTGAGCTGCTGCATTTGAAGGAATGGCTTTTGGAAGCGTAAATTCACGCTCCCCAAAAATTTCTTCTCGCTGTCCACTCGACAACGGTGTTTTCTCATTATCACTTCATTATATAAACCAGAACTTTGGTGTGTCGGTTTGTCGGTGTGTGTGTCGTTCTGTCCGTCCGGACCGACCGCTCACAAAACCAGGGAGTACGAAGGGCAACACTTCGAGATGTTGATGTCATGATCATGATAAACCCACAGCGGCTATATAAACACCGATCGAGCACACTCAGTCTCA